GGGCTACGAACTATGCTATGTTTGAACAAAACATCACTGTACAACTGTCATCGTCTCAGCCACCCGATAGCCATGAAAGATTATTACTCTCCTCACTCATTGCTGATTGCTCAAGATCAAATCTTCCAAAACTTTTTGCACAGACCAGAGAATTAAAGCGACCTCCCTTGATTGTAAAAACAAAGCAATATCTCTCTAATGCGACTCTAACCAACCCAATGCCAAACTCAGGCTACCAAATGGAATGAGATTTCATGTGAACCAATAATTACTCCAAGAACTTGGAATTACAGAATTTCTTTGCATAACACCAAGAATCCTGAATCTGCCACCAGAAAACCAAAAAAACAAGTCACTAGCAGAACTTAGTGAGTAGCAGCAGTTAGCAATGCACACATGCTAGGTAGAATTATCCTATGTCTAACTAACTATGACAACATTCAACTACATATTATACAAAGTTTGCGTCAAGACAAATAAAATAAGGCCACAAGTAGCAAGATGCATGAGTTCCAACAAATAGCAAGAAAATAGATCCCATACTGCGTTGGTAGGATCACTGTTGGCATGAGAATGCTTCCTCTATACATCAGCTGTAAAATTTAGAGCCATAATATTGGAAGCTTCGGCTTCAGATCATCAAATTAGGCAACCATCTCATCATTAGCTAACTCTAAATACCAGAAAACTGCCACATGAAATGAAAATAAAAGGTTAGAATTTGGGTTAGTGCAGTTCATAATTTCATCTCATAATCTTCAGATAGTCAGTCAATCAATTTGACATTTGCAATTGCGTAAAGTTTATGGAATATTCCAGGCAAATATTACATAGGACAATATTCTTCCAAAAGTATAATTATTCTGGGACTTGCTTTAAAAAACATGGTAATGAGGAAATTCAACCTGCAAGGAATTAGATCCATTATAAAAGTATATTTTAAATGAGTTAAGGCTTAACAAAAAGCAGCATGTTTTTTTTGGGACGGGAGAGGAGGAAGATAGAGCAGAAGATTCAGAGAAGATTTACAAATCATTTCCAAGGACCTATAGCTGAACCTATGGGAAGGGAAATGGTGAAGGAAAGAGCAACTCCAGCAGATAAGAGAGTTATCCCAAGGTTCCTGGCCATCAGGGAAAATAAGTGGGGTGTGAGTTGGTTTGAGGTGCAGCTAGAGTGTAGGCAGTGTTGCAGCTTTTTGGTCTTCAAATCCTCCAATTCCGCCAGAAAGAGGGGAATTTAGTCTTTTGGAAGCATAGTGAGGATTAAGAGAGATCTGACCTCTTGAAAGCCAGAAGCATTGCCTTGTACACGCAAGCATATTTTGTTCTGTTCTTGTATTTCTGTCACTGTTATGTGTTTGTAACCTCTGTAACAGTGTGTATGAGGGATATGGGATTGGCTTGGATCATTATTTCCCTTGTAACCATTCAGTTATTCAGCAATAGTATCATCAATCTCACGTTATTCCCACTCCCTATTGTCTATTTCTGGTTTTAGTCTTAATGTCAGCTTGTTACAGTAGTGGGTCCTTATCATTTGGTATCAGACCAGTTCTGATCAGGGGCAAAAAATGGAAGAATGTGCAAAAAGTTTCAAACGGAACATGAGGGAATTGAAGGCTATGTTCGGCGAGCCTGAAAGAGGTGTCAGGATTATGAAAGAATTGACGTTGCAGAAAAGAGCCACCTTAGCTCAGTTGGCAGGTGAGAAAGAAGACGAGAGGAAGCCTGTTGAAATAGAGCAGGAATCAGAGGCAAGAAAGGAAGAGGTAAATGCAGTAACAGATGAGAAAGGGGAAGGCAAAGACAGCTGAAAGTGAAGTCAAGGAAGCCAATGTCACAGTTGAGGAGGCATCGGAGGACCTGCCGTCAGAGGAGGAAAACAAAGAAAAAAATGAAGGCGTTACCAGATTTAAGATCATGGAGGACTGCAATAAAATTTCATGCACAACACAAAATAACAGAGAAAATAAAACTAGCTAAATAAGCACAAAGGGTCCAGTGCAGGATGACATGTATAAACCAATCAATATTGAAAGCCAAAACCAAATTACATAGGGATTGCACAATATGATCTAACGTTCCCACTTTTCAAGGGGGAAAATTCCTGTCACTTGTCTCTCAAAGGGTGAACTGCATTAAACCTGAACCTCATTTTCTTCTACTCACTATGCTATTTCCAAAATTCACATTGCAATTGCAAATCTAAATCAAAGTAAAAATAATAATGTGAAGAAATGATGAGGAAAAAACTTTGGATAAAATACAAAGAAGTCAAAGTTAAGCCTAATTCATTTACAACCTGAACCAATGACTTGTAGATATAAATATCAATTCACAAGACAAGAGCACCAGGAATGAAATAAATCACAACTCATGATCAAACAGCCACTACTAAATTGCATGCACATCACCATGCTTGAGAAATTTGGCTTCGAAACCATAGACACTCATACTCCTCGCTGTGGTTTAAAGGCAAAAATGAAGGAAAATAGCATAATATATAGTCTATAAAAAAAAAACAGAGCATTTCCAGAGCAGCAAATTCAATGGCCGTGATTGTACCTGACAGAATATAATCAGGTTCCTTGTGATCCTGCATCAGATCCGGATGCTGAGGAGCTTTCAGTATCAGAATCTGCAAAAAGACATACCAGTGAGAAAGACACATGAACAGACATAAATGAGTGTATACATAACTAAAAAGTTAGAAATATGTTAGTTAGATTACAAATTAAAGTACCAGTTGAGGAGGACCCGGAATCACTGCTTGAGCTGCTAGAACTACTTGACCTACTACCATTGTCCACTGGTTTATCCCCTGGCGCATGCAATGATGTGGGTACATTCCTTTCATCTGCTCACAAAAAACATGTTTCAATTAATTAATTATAAAGTAGTAGAATTAAACAATAGTTTAAACACTGCAAGATTAGCTTAATTATAAACATAGATTACCTGCTAAATTTGTTTTTGGAACCTCGACCATATCAGATGCCTGGGCTCAAAAATAAATAAATAAATGAATGAATAATTGAAATTCAGAAATCATAAACAACCAGTTCTTAAAGATAGTGACAACTAGAAGCTAGAACTCAAGCTGTACCTTTTGTGGGGCATTTTTTGCAGATTCTGCCCTTTGAATAGAAAGTTCAGCCTTCCTCTTGTTCTTGCTCAGGCTTTTCTTGTAATTGGTCACAAATCTATCAAGTTCCCAAAGAGTCTCAGCATCGACACTATCAATGTCCACTTCAATCTCATCATCATGTTGAGAAAGAGCTGAATTTCTTTTTTTAATGATCTGTACAATGGTATCTAACTTCTCCGGAGGTAAACTCTGGAGGTTTGTACTAAGTTTTTGCTTTTCCTCATAGGTCATGTCTCTTTTACAAGGATCCTTTGCCTTCGGCTTCTTTGGAGCAGGAGGTCTACTTGATGGAGTAACACGCGCTGACTTTGGAGTTTGTATCACTGATTCTGATCTATCCAAAATCCTTCTCATATCAAGAGAGGGGAATGCAATGGCCTTTCTAGACAATGGTGAGGGCGCAGGTAGAGGTGTCCTACAGTCCAATGCATATCTTATCTCACGATTGTAATCTGATTCTATTATAGCCCATCTGTCCTCAAATATCTTAGATAGCAGGTCTGCCATTACATGAACATCTTGTCCAGGTGGGTTATATTTCATAGCATTGTGAAATGTAAGTCTCACATCCTCTGCAAATTCCTTGGGTGATTTGTACCAATTCTTGTTAAGCCTAGTTTTCACAGTACCCAGGTCCATTGGATGTGAGATTATGCTAAAATAATCATGCAATCCAAGCCCCTCAACGTCAACAGGAGCATTAAACACCCAACCATGCTTGTGCTTCATCAATTTCTCAAGCAATGAACTACAGCTTTTGAAAAATTTTGATCCCATTCCAAAACCATGTCCCAGTTCTCCCCCACCCTGCTTCTTTCCGTTCAGTTTTGACTTCTTATTACTCTCTGCAGGAGGGAATTTATCCTTCCCAAGCAAGAACTCCGAATTTCTATATAACTGGTTTGCCTTCGGCGTTCTCTTCTCCTTCTCAACAGTTTCACTGGTTCCATGGCTATTATCTAGCACCGACAAACTTAACTGGTGCAAAGGCCTGATAGGTTCTCGTGGGACAACAGATGCCACCTCAGACTGAACACGCCTTGCCACAGTGCCATTATCAATCCTATCACTCACCACCGGGTTTGACTTTCCATAATCACCAATCTGTCCCAGTTTCACGTCAATTTTTCTGACCAAACTTCTCACCGTATCAAGCTCATTTTCAAGCTTCCTCTTGAGCTCCAATATCTCTTGCTTTGATCTTGAGGACAAGTTTATCCTGATTCGATTATCCAATCCTGCCTTTACAACACCATTTCCTGACGGCAACTCCCCAATACTGGGAGTAGCCTCCTCCTGTCGATTAGAACTCGAAGGCTCGTCCAGCTGATGATGGGGGCTCGAATGCTCATCCTGCTGATAGTTGAGGCTTGAAGGTTCATTCTGCTGACGGTTTAAGGTGGACGAGTCATCTGAAACCACGTCGGGTCTTGAATTTAGCTGTGGCAGAGCCGAATTTCCGTTCCCGGGCAATACAGTCTGCGACGGTTGCTGAGCCGACTCGTTGTTCTCATTCTTCTCGGTCTCTACAACGTTATCATTCTTGACCATGCCGTTGTTGTTGTCATCTTTGTTAGCAGTTGTCGTTGTTGGAGCAGTGTTGGGAGCAACGGCGGGCAAGGCATTACCTTTGCTCTTGGGTCCTTTATATGCTTTCCTCGTGTACACCTTGCTCTCCACATATCTCTGCTTCTCTTTAGCTCCATCATCTCCTCCCACTATAGGCCCCGACGCCATACATCCAAAACCCTAATTCTTCTCTGCACACTTGCCCTACCAACACTTATTCCAAATCCCAACCAAGTAACCAAAACTAGGGTTTTATGGACCCCAAAAAGCTGAGAAAAGCCACAAAACCTAAATTTCTAGACCTTCACCCAGCAACTCGAATTTCTAGGGCTCATGCAGACCCCAATTCGCCGAGAAAATCCGAATACACCAAATTGCACCTCCGCGGACGAAGACAGCCAACCTACGCGGGAAGCGAGGAAGAAATAAGGTAAAAAAGAGGAAGCTTTAGGGCTTCAAAATAGACAGTAGGGTTTCGAGCTTGTTACCTTGGTTTCAATCAGATCTTGCACCCTCTCCTTCGCTACACACTCTCTCTCTCCAGAACTCTTCGTCTTCCTCTCTCTCTCTCTCTAAACGGAGATTGTTTTATCAAACACCAGGTGTACGGCAACGGTGGGTTCGTGCGGAACAATGGACCAGACGAAGCGTTTGGGTTGCGCCCCCGAGTCGTGCCCGGGAAGTATCCCAGTGACCCGAATGAAAGGGTTGGGGCTTACTCGATTATATGGCATGTGCACTGCACGCACCAATGGGAAGGACGAAAGTCTGGAACGTGTAAATGACCGACGAATTAAAGGAGGTCAAGCTTTAATGGCGGGGATTTTCGTTTGCGAAAATTTGAAGTGCTCTCGTAGTCGGAGGCATTGCGCGTAGGGAATACCTGCCCGTTCGGTGGGGAACAGGAGTTTGGTGGTGTTAGCACGCGCCGGCGTAGCGCTTGGAGATCATTGGTGTTTTTTTTTCCTCTTTTGGGCCGAGGGTTAGGTCCCAACCCGTGCACAAAGGCCCAAAGTTTTTTTATTTCGAAAATATGTAACAATGCACCTAAAACTGTCTCCGGATTTTTTTTTTTATTGCATGTCTGGAGAAATTTCGAAGTGTTATCGCTTTTGACCTAAATTAGTTTCAAACCTTGTTACGTGGTATCATTATTATTAATGATGACTATTTTGGAAATGCTTTTAGTATTTACATATTTAGTATTTGAAATTAAGACTTCAGTAAGAGAAAATAATTCAATTCTCCTAACCAATTGAATGAATTGTCCATTCATAAAACTATGCCGCGATCTTGCTCACTGTGTGTATTAAAACAAAAGGAGCAAGTTAAATGATTAAATTAATATTCAAATCATCCAATTTATAATTTTTATCAATTTTTATATTATATTTTTCTACTTTAAGGAGACTTTGTAAAATTTAAAGTTGAGAAGATTTAATTTCTAATAAAAAATGGATCAAAATCTTTACCAAAAAAGTAGAAACGAAAATGTTGTTTTACTAAAGGGGTTTGACTTCTGGGTACATTTCCGGGAAGGTTATATCTTGTCGGTGGATCTGTGATTTACATTTTCTACCTACTGAATGGAAACGAAACAAAAGGGACAAATAAAAGCGTCATCGCAACATCCCAAGAATAGGATTGTCATTGTTCTTTCTTCTGGGTTTGACAAGAATGGGACTATAAATCCTACAAGTCTCTCTGCCAATCTATTGGCACTGCTCCGAAGTACAGTCCTGTAAAGTGGGATCAACCTGTATGGGTGTGTATAAAAAAAGAAGTTGCTATGGAAATTCGAATTAACGTTAAACAAATATCAATTAATTACAATTTGATCACAATCTTAATTATTAATTCTTAAACTAGTGTTAACTGTTTTCAGTACATTGACCATCTGGCTCCCAAGATCCCTCTCAGGAATTGAACAAATCAACAGATAATGGGTTATCCGCAGGCTATGTGGGCGAAAAAGAAATGCCCGAAAAGAGAACACTAGCACTTTTAGTAAGGCCACAAAAGTGTTTTTTTTTATTAGGATTATTGCAAAGTGTGTTTGGTTTAAATAAATAAATAAATGACATACAAGTCTCATAAAAAAAATTTAATTACTATAAAATTTATTAATAATTGAACTAAAGCCATCAATTATATAATTTATTATTATTTTTCATTAATTTAGTTGTTAATAAATTTCGCGGCAGTTAAATTTTTTTGGTGAAATTTTAACATAATTCTCCCAATAAATAATTCACTTATTAATAATAGTTACATCTATTTAAAGAATTTTCAATACTTTAATTAAAGTGTCAAATTTGACTGAGATTACCTTTCGATGCTTGGCTCCAACCCACCTAGTAAATAGTAATGATGTATTGCTATATGTGTTTGGGGGTCATGATTGGATTAGCCACGCATTTCTCCTACTCTTAAAGCTTCTATTTCTTATAAACCAAATACCATTAAAAGAAATGAACAGAAGTTAGGTTTACAAAAAGAGACTAATCCTTTACAATTTAATAATTTCTATTAAAAGAAGTGCACATATTTAATACCTAACAGTGCCTCGGATAAGATTACTTTCCATAAAAAAATGCCACTGGATAACAAAAATTAAAAGATAATCACAGTTGCATTTGTATAACCTTCTAATTTGTGTGTATATTTATTTACCATTGCTCCTATTGTCGAGGCAATTTGTAGCCAAACAACATTACCATATCCAATGTGCATCATGACCTATCAAAAGCGCTCATAATCTTCGACCATTTTTTCAACAAAATTAATAAAAGAGAGGATTTGTTTATCCATCAAACTTACTATCGAGATATAAATATCAGAATATCTACAGTCTGCCCCCAACATGTAAAGACTTTTTACTCTTTAGAATGTCCTAATGTTGCCTTTTTTGCATGATTTTTTTATGTGGTTTTTTGTATCCAAACATCCAAACAATGATGTTTTTCCCGAAGAAAACAAAAGGTTGGTTGATTTAGGTCTTCAAAATTTATTATAGTCAGGATATGTCTTAAAATTCAAAGAATGCTTAGAAATGTATTTACAAATCACCCATTGATAACCTTATCTCTAGCATATATAGTGAAATTTTTAAATTTTAAGATTTTTGATTAAAATTAAGTCTAGTGAAATTTTTTTAAAAAATATATATACAATAAAGTATACATATTTTCTAGCACACGGCATACAATTTAATATGCTCCTCCAATTCATAAAATAGAATCATACTTCCCCCTGCTTTATATGGTTCAAAATGCAAGTCCAGTATAATACCTAGAGCAATTTTTTTGTTTTTTCATTTCACCCTCAAGCACAATTAAATAGTACAAGTGATTGATTCTTTTTTGTGAATGCAATCTTAAACTTTGATAAGAGTAGATTTTGAAAGTAAAACCCATTTTTTACAACTTCAACAGTATAATCTCCGTTCAACTACTATTTTTAGATTGTGTGTAATAGTTAAACGACATAACTAGACTTATATTGTGAACTAGGGAGGAAGTCGTATTAGTTATAACTTTTTGAAAAGCATGGCTTGTTATGATTTTTTTCTTATATTAATATATTAATGATAAGGATTCAAGATGTAAGTAGTTAAATATCACTACTCCTATTGTGCCCAATTTGAAGGGAATACAGTCAAAGGCTTAAATTGGCAAAAAAATAATTACTCATATACAAATAACTGTTAGCTATGATGAAACTATAATTTAATGGGGAATTAAGATCACTTTAAATTTTATTCAATTCCATTCATTTAGCCATTTTGCATTCTATATTCTGTTTTCCACTATTATTAAAAAAGAGAGAGAGAGAGAGTAAAATACAGTAATCTTCCTTTCGTTTTGCAAAATTATAAGGACCTTCCATCTAATTTTAAAACTTATACTTTAGTTCAGTCTTCCACACCATTAGAAATATCTTGTTAAAATTCTAAAACACTTATTTTTTATTTGTAATAATGCTAGAAATTTAAAATTATTAATTTGCTCTCATGACCTAATTGTTTACCCTCTCTTAATTTAAATAAAACTATGAATAATCAAGATAAAAAAATGTAAAAATATGGGTTATAATTAATCAACTTCAAATAAAAATAAAAATAAATTATATTAATTAATTCATATCAATCTCTTATTTTATAAATTTTTTAAAAATATTTTTTACCCAATTTTATATTTAATTTTTAAAAAATATTAAATAAATACATTTACATAATCAAAAAATTTTAAATGTAAATAAAAAGTAAAAAATATATGGATCAATTTTTTGGGTAGTTTGAATGATTTTTAGACCATATTTATGCTTAAAGAGGGGTATTTTGGTATTAATTTAATATATATTTTTCCGTTAAAAAATATAAGCTATTTTTTAAAAGGTTAGATGTTAAAAAAAATAAAGATATTTTAATCTTTTGAGGTGTAATCATTATTTTTTTTTCAAAAATGTCCCTTTTAAATAAATTACTTTTTATTTATTTTAGGGTGTGTATAATAATAAATATGGAAAGATAAGATTAATTCGAAAATAAATAACTACTTTATTAAAAGTAAAATTTAATTAAAAATATTTTATATTTTTTAATAGAGAGAATATGATTTGATAGTTAACTGGTGGTTTGTTGGATGAAAAAAAAATAAAAATAAATAAGATGTTTGTGTTTTGTAGATATTTATACTATGAAAGGTTTATATATATTTCAAAAATAAAAGGGATATATGTAACTAAGATAAAATAGGAGAGTTTAAAATATTTTACTCTAAAAAATTGAAATAAAAGGGTATTAAAGATTAAAAAAGGGGTGTGAGAAATGTGAGTTATACACGCGCAATTTTTATAAATCGTCAATAGAGCAATTCTTTCTCATAAATTATCAGTAGATCAAATTAAATAAAAGTATTTACTAACAAATGTTGATCATAATGGAATGAATTATTATCGTTTAAGTATGAAGTATTGAGTTTGAGTTTATAAAATCTGGAAAACTGATTTAGAAAAGTTGTCTCTAAATGAGCATGATAATAGTCGAATTTAACTCAAATTATTATATAAAAAAATGAATAAATATACCTTATTATCACGGGACTAGTCTTTCAACCCATGCGTCACTTAAATAATTTTTACTAAAAGTTATTAAGTAAGCCTAACTCGTAGGAAAGGAGGATGCTTAGCTAAATTGAGAAGAATAAAAATTTGAGAGCAAAGGATACTTGTGAGAGCTTGGGGAATGTGAGAGTAATATTATTTTAAAAATTTAAGGTTAGTTACAAATGAGGAGAGGTGAGGTATTTATAGACCTCTCCTTAGATCTAAAAAGTTTCCACCTTTTCAATGGACAGTGGAAATTAAATCAATTATATGTTATAATTCATTTTCTAGAATCCTCTTTTAAATATTTACAACAAATGTCCAGATATTTATATAAAAATATCTAAAGGCAAATATTAAAATATTAAAGTTAGAATTGTGTAAATTTTTTTTTAGAATGTTATTGCACTCTCTAACACTCTTAAGGTTATTCATGAGACTTTTGGAGAGCTCTGGAATGTTCCGGATCTCCTTAATTCATAAAAAGTGATGAATTGTGACATTATGCTAAATATGATAGACCTAGCCCAACTTAAAATAACTTTTTTAAAAAATTAAAAATTGTTTCGTTTTTCATTGGTACGCCATATGCCATTGAAATTGCAATCGCAATACTCGTGCGGTTGGAGAATTTATTTACTCAGTTCATTATTATCAAATCAACTCTTTTAAAGTCGCACACAAGATGTCGCCCACAGAAGGGTGTCCAATTCCAACCAAGATTAATTCTTTTTTCAGCTGCTAAAATGTGCGTTAAACAATATTATCATTTAATGGTTCTCGTCTCTCGTGTTCCAGATCCCCCATTGATCCCGTACAAG